ATATTGGCATAGTACTTAAAGAAGGTGCAAAACAAGGAGGAAAAGGTGCATTAGGAATAAAAAAAAAATAAAATAAATAAAAATAAGACATAAAAAATAAAAAATACAAGGGAGTAACACAGAGATTTGAGGTGTCACATGTACAATCAGGATGGCTTATATGACTAACTTTAGAAGAGCAAATGGACATTGTTATCATGTCAGACGGTGTTTTCCAAAGAAAATGTTACAAAAATAATGCTACCCATGCATGCCCACGACCTCTGGGTCAGCGTCTTTCCTACTGATATTGAACTCACCAGATGCATGCAACCAGTTTGTTGCACAATATTCCCAAGAAAATGTTGTTTTCATTAACTTTTTGTCCAGAGTTTGTTATTAAATATGAAAGTCCGGCTAATGAGAGGTTAGTAGAGAGATGATGGGATGAACCTTGTTCCAAATCCTTTTTATAATCATATGAAAAACAAATGACGACCAATCTAGACCATAGCAGGGATTCTTTTTAAAGCAATTTCTTTCTTTTTTTCCAAGAAAGGCCTTCAAAATGTGAACCTTTTATGTTTCACCCATTCTAAACCTTTTTCTATAAAATTTATACTTTAAAGAAAAAAAAAACACTTTTAAATTAGTATATAATTTATTTGATTTAATATTGCTTAAGCAACATTCTACAATAAGGAGAAAGATGCATTTGAAAAGTTGAGCAGCAATAGGCTGAACCATAAAAACTCTCCTAAAACAGCAATGATAAATGGTCCTTGAAGTCTATTGATTTACCTTTGTAATTTATTTGCTCTTATTGTTGGAGCTTTAGTATTAGTTTGTGTTTGGTTTTTAAGACATTTTCTGCTTGTCGTTTTGCTGTTTGGGTCTTGCCACATTTGTTCATTTTTCTGCAGTTTTATTTTTCTCTGTCACTCTCTACTTTATTCTTTTGTCTCTTTCTTCTTAGTTTAATCTATTTCATGTCTGGTTTAATTTGTTAGATCTTTCCAATAGTTATGCTCTAGTTCTATTATGGCTTTAAAATGTTTTAATTAGACCACTGACGAAATATCTTCCTGCTGCACTGTCATTTCCTATCTTGGGATCAATAAAGTATATCCAATCCAGGCTTAAGCACCTTTTGTTTTAGTTTTTCTTACATCCTGTCAAATTTTCGTCCAAGTTTTTGAGTTGTCATGGATTCAGTAAATTATTGCACAATCTTTCTTTACAATCAGAGCTCAATGATTTGTCTGATAATTTTAGAAAACAGTTTATGGTTTGATTAAACATTTAAACCTGATCAGTGTTTGCATCTTGCCTTTATGTAGCAAACATTACGGCACCTTATTGTGGTGACGTTTGCAGTGGAACCTATGCGACCTAAAATAAGCATCATTACAGAAACCTCTTTCATGCGCATTTATTAGACTTGCTCACTGCTACAGATTCCTGCAGCGATGTTGTTTTAAAAAAAACTGACAGTGCTTTCTAATAGAATAGAATAGAAATTCAACATCTTTTGTCATTACACTGTCACAAGTACAGAGTAAAGAAATTTACTCAATGCATTTAACCCACTCCTTTTGGGAGCAACGTATGCCCAGAGAGCAGTGTGGGGTTAAGGGTCTTTCTCAGGGGCCCAGAGTGGCAGTCTGTGGGAGTGGGGCTTGAACTCAGAACCTCTGGGATCCAAGCACAAAGCCCTAACCAGGCCACCACTCCCCCGTCAATAGTAATAGTTTGAACTTATGTTGCAACAAAAAAAAATCTAAATTTTATTCAGATTTTATGTGACGGACTAATAAGTAGAGTATTAGTATATAAAGGCTACAATAAAGCTTGATTTGTTGTCTTTTAATCTGATGAAAATTCCAATGGAACCACCTGCCTTTGAATCCCACTCATTTAAGTCCAGACGTTTTGTAAAGACTAAAAATTTTAGAAGACTTTGTAAAACTTTATTTGAAGGGGTATCATCAAACATGACATAACACCTGTCATGGAGATGAAAGTGTCAGGGTTCCTTTGTGTTAGTGAGTGCGAGTTATGCATCTCCCATCATAGAGGATCTTTGGTGAGAACCTTGGTATGCTACACAGGTGAACATAATATTCCTAATCAGAGTGCTGGGCTTAAAAGTGCAGCAGAGCCTTCACTCGAGGCTGGTTTATTGTGTTGTAGAAGTTTGTTTGGTTGCCTTCTAGTCTCTAGCTTCTCTCAATTATTTTCCCTGATGTTATTGTTTTTTGTTTGGTTTTCTGTATATTTGGATTTTGGATTTTTGACTCTGTTCGCCTTGGACTTTTAATTAAATCATCCAAACTCATCCATTGTAAAAAGGATCTAGAAATAAGTAAAACATTTTCTTAATTTGAGTGGGTAAATGAAATGCTTTGCCAATGGAATGAGTATTTTTACTCTTAAAAGAAGAAATTTAGATAAAATGCACTTGAAATAAGACAATGCAATTGTGTTTTCTTATTTTAAATGTAAATTGTCTTGTTCCATTGGCAAAATGTCTCTTTTACGTACTCAATCCAAGAACAAATGCACTTATTTTAGGAAAAAATAACTTATCTAGATTTCCATTTTTTCCAGTGTCTGTGCCAACTCCTCTCTGCATTTGGGTCCTCAAAACCTCTACACAACCTGACAGAAAGACTCTATGAATGTTTATGACTGTTTTCAATAACAGTCTTTCAATAAATTAAGTCACTTTAAATGCAAAGTCGACATTGTTAAAAGTAAGAGACAAAACTTTTCTAAAAAAAAAAAAAAGATATTAACCAGTTAATTCTAAACCATCATAAATGTGTCATAACATGTCTTCTTATAAACAGTGGCAAAGTTTTCATAGGGATGACCTGCAGGGACAAACCTACACTGTACAGAAAGGAAATGAACGAGCACAAGATGCAAAATTTCCAAATAAATCAGTAAAGAAAGACTAGAATGTAACAAAGCTCTTTCTAATAATTATACACACACATCTATACGTCTAAATTGATAATTAAACACATAATAATCATATTTAAAAGTGCACAAATTTTGTATCTGTCATTTTTTATGTAGCATATTGTTATTTATAATTAGTTACTTTCTTTTAGTTGTCAGTGTATAGTTAATATACAAACAATTAGAATGTAATATTACTAATAAGTAATTAGGATACTTCACATAAGAGTATTACTGATAAAAACCCCTGGTTTAGAAGGGAACTGCTGTTTCTGGAGATGCTAAATTATGTCAACACTGAAAAAATAAAATATCATGTGGTAGAGGTGGCAGATTCAAAAACATCAAAAATATAATTTGATAAATGTTTTAACATTAAATTACACTTCTATTAGTCTGTTTTTTAAGAAAGTGTAAAACATCTTTGCGACTTGTCCTACTTTTTCAACCTTACTTTAAGTAAAGCGAAATATCAATGACACGTATAAAATCGTTTCATCATGGCAGCCAAAATTAAGCCCAGTCACGTGACAGTATAATTTAATGTTAATGTATACATTTTCGTGACTTTTTAAAGGTTTGTAGTTAGACCTGTTTTAACCTATTTTAATGTCATATTTTTATTTTTGTCATTACAAATACATTTTAAACAGCTTTGCACTAAATGTATCATCATTTACTGAATGATTAAATGATGGCAGTCAAAATCAAAGAAAAAGAAAAACTCCTTTATATTTATGGGAGGTGTCATGTCATGATTATAGAGTAACAGTGTAATATCATTATCCTGCCTTTAGTGAACTAACGGCAACCTGAGAGGGAAGAAACACGGCAGACATGGATGTTTAAAGTACGATTTGGTTATAAAACAATAACCAAAATTCGGTCCATCATATGGAGGACAAGACATGGTGATCCCCCTACAACCGTAGCCCCCGATAAGTAGAACATTAAGAAGCTGAAGGTGAGATTTGATCATTTTGGGCTATATTCATTCATAGCAGACTGTCCAGACAGTGACGTTGTGAATGTGAACCATGATGTCAGAGTACTTGAACAGACACAGGGAAGCTGATTAGAACTGATGGGAATAAAGATGGACAGGGGGATTCCTGAGAAGTGCAGTTATGTCTAATTACAAGCTACCTGCAAACTCCTTCACCTTCTTCTTGGTTGATCTACCTAGTATTGGTAAAGTGTGAAGCTGATTAATGCATCTGTGGCTTTTTTATTACCTCTGTCCTTATAGAAAATTTACAAACACAGACTGAGTTTTTCCCCCCTATGATTATGACCCCTACATCGTCACTGCCAATACCCCCTGCAGCGCACAGTTTGGATCAGGAATCAGTCAGAACTTAAATGATGTTAGAGGGAACCAGCCACCTGACAATCATGGTTCCATTATTTCTAGTGCCATCCAAACAAGCGACCCCCCAGGAACTTTTGGATAATGCACAGGCTCAGAACAAAACATAAGTGCTTTTGCAATTACAGAGCGAGCTGAGTGTCAGTCACTTCAACAAGACAGATCAGCTGTCATCCCGATGCTGCCCTGATTTCAATCTGTCCAAAACAAACTCTGCAAAACGTACTGGATCTCTTGCCTTATGACATGTGTGTCTATCTGCAGCATATTTTATCATCCTTGCTTTGTTTCTGTGTGACGCAACGTATATTTAAGTTTGAAAATGTTCAACAAATAGTTTAGGGGTTAAAATTTGCTTAAAAGGTTAAATCTCTTGCACTGGGTCAAAGATTAGGGTTAGGATTGTAATCAGTGTGGTTAAGCCTCAGGGAACTTAATGTATCTCTCAAACACACCCTCTGGGATTTCTCTTGTGTGTTTGTGTTGAGAAGGAAAGCAGAGCAGAGACATAATGAAAATAACCTCAATGTGGATGTTGTGAAATGTTGTTCAAATCCAGTGTTATTGGGAGAAGTGTGGGAGGATCACTGAGGCCAGACTGGAAAGGAGGCTGGGTGTGTGCATCGAGGAGGTGGGTGGTTGAGGGTCACAGTGGTCACTGAAAGGGTTTTCCCAACCAACTGACCTGCTCGGAGAGCTGCTTGCCTCTGAGGAAGAAGCCCAGCAGGCAGCCGATGACCACGGCCAGAACAGACAGGATGAGCAGTCCGTTCTGCTTGCAGACATTCTTCACTCGGCCCCACACTTCTTCCAGAGCCATCCTCCTCCACCGCCTCCTCCCGCTGCTCGTCCGGGTCCTGACTGCAACTTTGCAACCCTCAGAGAAAACCACCAAAGCAAGCCCCCGTCTTTAATCTGCTATTCAGCCATGTACATCCAGCAGACAACCAACAACTACAGCTTCAAAGGAGGGCGAGACAGCGGGTGGATGTAGCAGTTGGGGAATATGGTTTGGAAGCAGACAGAATAAGGAGAAAGTGGATTTAGGAGACACAAAAAATGAAAACTAAACCAGAAAAAAATAAAATAAAAAAGAGTTGATTTCAGAAATGAAAACAACAAGATATATAAATGAGCTGAAGATCCAAAGTGAAACAGTTCAGGGATGCATTCCCAATCCAGGCTTTGTCCTCCAGTACTTTAAATCTAAGCAGAAGCATCCCACTGACACACTCCCTCTCTCAGCCAGAGTCTGCCTCCAACCCGTCTGCCCCCTCAACCTCCTCCCCTACAGGACACATTTCTGCCGGCGACCAACAGAGGGCCCTGCGACAGCTGGTGGAATTGTCATTAGGGTTAATACTACGATCCTATTAGGCACTGTGCAGTACAACTCAGATGTAAGGCTGGATTAGAGAGCTCTCTGAACAATTGGACAGCAGATTGGTCCAGGCCACCAAACATGAGGGAGGGGGGCAGCAAGAATGAAAGGGAGGAAGAGAGGAAAAAGTCACAAAGGATTAAAAGCAAACTATGATTTACAGAGAGAACATTTAATAACACCTAACGTTATATTAATGGAATAAGAAGCCACTTAGGTGTTTTGGATTCCCCTCAGAACTGTGTAGGCAGCAGTTCATTAGGTCTACAGTCTCACAGCTGGCAAGAAGTGATGTATACTTAGGTGTTGTCAGCTGCATGGCTATAGCCTATAATCACAGTCACAGTATGTCAGGAAAAACAGCATATTCAGAATACTGACATAGATTCATATGAGAAGAACAACAAAATGGCAGCTTGTTTTCTACTTAATTTTCCTTTTCAATATTATCTCTCAAGAGTTAGACATAAGTAAGCAGGTCGGATGGTATAAGTGTGGTAAAACCTTATAATTTAATTACTTACTCAGCAGGCGTTACTGAGCCTGTAAATGTAGCTTGTTATGTTATTGAGGTGTTTTATTTTATAGAAAAGAAAGTGGTGAAAAAGAACAAAGAAAAAGCAAAAAAGACTCCAGGTAAAATTCAGAAATGAGTAAATTTGTCTATATCCCCCTTCACTTGTATACCCCAAAAGGAAAACTCAAGAGCAGGCAGGTGTCCTCATGATCAAATATGATCTAATACGTAAACCTATCAAGAACTGGATCTCTTTTAGAGCTAACTGGATGGACACAGAGAGCATTAATTAGACAAGCAGCCAAGAGTCACGCAAACTCTGGAGGTGTCAGGGATCTAGGTGTATTGTATCTATTTACACCTGGTCCAGCACTGAACTGGTTTAAATCCTATGTAAAGGACAGAGATTTTTGCTGTCAGTAGGTAACTTTACATCAGAGACAACAATATTCACATGTAGAGTTCCCCAAGGGTGCATCTTAGGGCCACCTTCAATTATATATCTATATGCCAATGCCAATCAATCTGGTGCTGGGTAAATGCATTGTTAGAATATAACTGAATTATGGGGAGTGTTGGCCTGGTGGTTATAGCAGTGCGCTTGTGCTCAGGCAAGGTTGCAAGTACACGATTCAATCCCCTCAGTCTCCACTCTGGGTGCCTGAGCAAAACCCTTAACCCCCACACTGCTCCCCGGGAGCCACACAATGGCAGCCCACTGCTCCCCGAGAGGATGGGTCAAATGCAGAGAGTGAATTTCCTCATTGTGGGACAATGAAAGTGATTTACAATGCCATATCTCCAAAACACATTACAGACTTTTTGTCTCAGGGCCCAGAACCAAATATGAAGAAGCAGCTTTTAATATATATTCTGCATAAGTCTAAAATAAACTCCAAAAAAAGTGTAAAAGTGCTGAAACCTTAAGTTGTTTTAAGTCTACATTAATAACCTATGTTTTAGTGACGTTTCCAAGTCCAGTTGTCATTCTATTTAAATATATTTAATGGTCTTATTTTAATTGTTCAATCTTACCCTCTCTAATACCATTTTATTGCCTCTATTCCTCTGCAATTTACTTTTCTTTTTCTCATGTACACCATTTGTCTTGCCACTGAATTTTGCCATCCATAGAAATAAACCTTTGCCATACTTTGTGTGATGTTCCTCTATCTAGAAGAAAGAGCAAGAAGCTGAGCAGTGTGGTTCAGCACACCCACTTAATCAAGTTCATCAACTGGAGCAAAAGAGGAGCCTGTCATTCACTTTTAATCACTGTGACACCTCTAGTCCTTATATCAGTTCCCACTAATCTTGATCTCTTTCTACCTCAAAAGTTACCTTCTAACTATCCATGGGTCTCCTGTCCTTTGATTGTCACCTGATTCTTGTCTTAAGCCGGGCATACACTGTGCGATTTTTTGCCCTTCTCGGGCCAACTTTCCAGTCGTGCGAGAATGTTTTGATCAGGCCGACTTTCAGCCTGAAGCGTGCGCCATGTAGTGTACAGCGGGTAACCAGGGGCGATCAGCCTCTCACGACCACCTCCCGATCAGGAATCGTGGGGTAGGGAGAAAAGAATGTTTGATTTTCAGTCGGCGGTCGTGGGCAAATCGCTCAGTCATATACAAAGATTCTTCTTCTTCTTCCTCCCAACACAGAAGCATGGTGGGGATGCATTGAGTGAAATACAGTTCTTTCTGTAATTGACAGACCGTAGTAGCCATGTTTGCTCAGTCATGTCTTATTTTCTAAATACGTCGTCGCCTTTTCTTTTTAGAGCTTTCAGCATAAAATTGCAATAACTACGCTGTTAGTGTAAGTGCATTTCCTCCAGATGCACACTTCAAAGAGGGCCGTAGTGTTTAGTTTGAGTATCAGGACTAGGCCATTGGCTGCACACTGAGGAGGAAACTAAGCCAGTTATTCAGGTGTGTGGAGACAGAGACACATATAATGGTGCAGGACACTGGACCTAAAAGACATTTCATAAATCATATCACCTTTTCTGCTAATTTTTCTTCTGTTATTGATTGATGATTATCCTCTGATTTCCTTATTTGTTCTGTGAAGTTCTTCATCTTGTTTTAGTGGTTGCAACTGCTTGTGTTTTATAAGTCTGTGGGTGAAAAGTAACTGATCTCTCAAACCCCACCGTTTTAAAGCATTTACAAATAATTCCTTAGAATGCATGAAAATTACACTGGTAAAATGTTTACCAATATACAGGTGCTGGTCATAAAATTAGAATATCATGAAAAAGTAGATTGATTTCAGTAATTCCATTTAAAAAGTGAAACTTGTATATTATATTCATACATTACATACAAACTCATATATTTCAGATGTTTATTTTGTTTAATTTTGATGATTACAAATGACAACAAATGAAAATCTCAAATTCATCATATCAGAAAATTAGAATATTGTGAAAAGGTTCAAAATTGATGGCCCCTGGTGCCACACTCTAATCAGCTAATTAACTCAAACCACCTGCAAAAGCCTTTAAATGGTCTTTCAGTCTAGTTCTATAGGCTACACAATCATGGGGAAGACTGCTGACTTGACAGTTGTCCAAAAGACGACCATCGACACCTTGCACAAGGAGGGCAAGACACAAAAGGTCATCGCTAAAGAGGCTGGCTGTTCACAGAGCTCAGTGTCCAAGCACATTAATAGAGAGGCGAAGGGAAGGAAAAGATGTGGTCGAAAAAAGTGTACAAGCAAGAGAGATAACCGCACCCTGGAGAGGATTGTGAAACAAAACCCATTCAAAAATGTGGGGGAGATTCACAAAGAGTGGACTGCAGCTGGAGTGAGTGCTTCAAGAACCACCACACACAGACGTATGAAAGACATGGGTTTCTGCTGTCGCATTCCTTGTGTCAAGCCACTCTTGAACCACAGACAGCGTCAGAAGCGTCTTGCCTGGGCTAAAGAGAAACAGGACTGGACTGCTGGTGAGTGGTCCAAAGTCATGTTCTCTGATGAAAGTAAATTTTGCATTTCCTTTGGAAATCAAGGTCCCAGAGTCTGGAGGAAAAGAAGAGAGGCACTTCATCCACGTTGCTTGAAGTCCAGTGTAAAGTTTCCACAGTCAGTGATGGTTTGGGGTGCCATGTCATCTGCTGGTGTTGGTCCATTGTGTTTTCTGAGGTCCAGGGTCAACGCAGCCACATACCAGGAAGTTTTAGAGCACTTCATGCTTCCTGCAGCTGACCAACTTTTTGGAGATGCAGATTTCATTTTCCAACAGGACTTGGCACCTGCACACAGTGCCAAAGCTACCAGTACCTGGTTGAAGGACCATGGTATCCCTGTTCTTAATTGGCCAGCAAACTCTCCTGACCTTAACCCCATAGAAAATCTATGGGGTATTGTGAAGAAGAAGATGCAATACACCAGACCCAACAATTCAGAAGAGCTAAAAGCCACTATTAGAGCAACCTGGGCTATCAACACCTGAGCAGTGCCACAGACTGATCGACTCCATGCCATGCCGCATTGCTGCAGTAATACAGGCCAAAGGAGGCCCAACTAAATACTGAGTGCTGTACATGCTCATACTTTTCATGTTCATACTTTTCAGTTGGCCAACATTTCTATAAATCCTTTGTTTTTATTGGTCTTCAGTAATATTCTAATTTTCTGATATGATGAATTTGAGATTTTCATTTGTTGTCATTTGTAATCATCAAAATTAAACAAAATAAACATCTGAAATATATGAGTTTTTATGTAATGTATGAATATAATATACAAGTTTCACTTTTTAAATGGAATTACTGAAATCAATCTACTTTTTCATGATATTCTAATTTTATGACCAGCACCTGTAGACATGTTAGACATTTTTGGAAAGCTTAGATTCTCCACAATTCAATGGACACAGCGAGCACCAAAGCACAATTGACACAGATATAGCAGCATGTCAAAATGTACCATGACAAAGCAGCCACAACAAGCAAGCATGTCTATATAACTGTTCATGTATATATTCAGAAACTAGAAGAAGTTAGCTTTCAAATAATGTATCACGCATTTAATTTGGGCTTACAGTTCCTAAGTTATTTTTTTCCATTTGGTTATGCAAAATAGGTGAGAAATTCCCAAAAAAAGGTGTATATGAAGAGGCTAAACAACTTTACTCTAATGACTGTTCTTTTTATTTCTAAAGCAGTTTACTAAATCGAAACTTTACCGGAGTAGATTTGTTTTCACATTTTACTCAGTTACATTTATTCATTTGTTACAGAGTAAAAATACACACTAAGTGTTAAATTTAAATCTCAGTATAAGAGGTTAAGTACAAAATGTGATCAGTTGCATTGAAACCAATATTGTGCGAAGCAATCTGTTGTTTTTCTTTTTGT